TTCGTAGAACAGTTGAGTGCCTTGCATGCAGATGTTGTTGTGCTTCGCTTGGACATGGACAATCTAGGCAGGCTCGAAACTTTGCGGCAATGGGCCCGCCACATCCGTGATGGTCAAGTGCATGCTCTTTTTGCTGACCTTGCGCTAGGAACATGGTCAGCAGACAAGACAAGGTCCTTACTCCGATCCAGGGCTGCCTTGTGGGGGCTTCCGCAAAATGGTTTGAGACACCAGAGGTGTCCCGTGACAACGATTTGCTTTGGGCCACACTCATCATGTTTGCCGCCTGTGTCCGGACCTGCAAGATTCCCTGCCGAGCCTGCGCAGACACAAGTCAGTCTCAGTGTGGATGTTGCCTTATTTGGCTGGAAGAAAGGAGCTTCCGGAGTGCCATCAGATTCACATTCAGCAGGGGGTACTTGGGGAAACTACACCATCTGCTTGGCTCGAGTCGAGAGCGAGCGACACCAGTTGAGCCTTTGGATGGTTTCGGGTGTACGGTAGATGTTTCTAGAGTGTACCCCGATGCCGATGCATTTTTGCATGAACTGGCGCAGAGTGTGGTTCGGCGTCTCGAGCTGCTGGCCACACGGAGCCCGACAGCAGTGAAGGTGCCGAGGACTTTTTGTGACAAGCGCCCAGTATGGAGGCACAGACTCTTGCTGCAGCTGCAGACGCCGTGCGCCGCCCCTGCTTTGAAGCGCAGAGGGCCGGCGAGCGAGCCACCCGACCAGCCAGGTTTTGTCTCGGCCAGGTCGTTCTTTTGATGTTTTGTTCTTGTTTGCCTTTTGTTTTGAGGCGATGTGGACGGTGCGTCCGTTTCCAGGGCACAGGGCACGGACCCTTTGAAGCCGCGAAGAAGAAGAAGAAGAAGAAGAAGAGCAGCGGCTCCCCCCCAAAATATAACCAGGTTTTTCAGTAGTGCCCTTTTACCCCTTTTTTGGGGGAGGGTTCCCCTAAAATAGAGTACAGCAGAAAATTTGGCGCCCTTCTTCCAAGCTTTCAACTGGACCATAACACCAAACGAGAGTCCGAGGCCCAGAAAGTTTGGGTTCCTTGTGGTTTGATCACCTGGGCCAAGTTGATTGAGTTCACCCGTACTTTTACACGAGACCAGGTTCTTCCTTAGCGGGTGTGCATTTTCGTTGGCCAGGACAGGTGGACATGATTTACGTGGGGGATTTGTGTCTTCCAAGCACTTGAGCTGGTTTTCAAGGTCACGCCCTAAGACCCGTGACCCAACACCCAAAAGCCCCGTGAGCGGATTTTCGAAGACGTAGTTTGCCCTGGCTCCTTGGACGGCAACCTTGTTCTGCCAAAGCAACGGTTAGGTGTGCCCTTTTCTTTTTATTCCTTTTTCCCCAAATAGTGTTTACACTAAGGGGTTCTTACGGTAAGAGTTAAGGCCTGGTGTAGATCGAGGTGTCGGCTCAAATTGCGGCCCTGTGCGTAAAAAGTTGTCTTCGATGCAACAGTCTCGCACGAAATGGAGGTGCCAGCTGGTGCGTGCGTCTCGCTGTGGTGCCGTTCGCACTTTTTAGCTTTTGCTGGCAGGGGCAACAGTTGGGAGGTACGCGCTAGAAGCCTCGTGCCAAACGCGTTTTTTGAAGCAAGCTGCATTTTTTGCTGGCAGGGGCGTGTCACACGGAGGTTCGCGCTGCGACGCGGAGTGTGTTTTTTGAGGAAGCCTCGTGCCAAACGCGTTTTTTGAGACCAAAGTGTGTTTTTTGATGGCAGGGCCGCCACGCGGTGATATCTTCTTGTCGGGTCAGGCTACCACGCTTGGACAATCGGAGCTCTAAAGCCATGGTAGTTGTCGCAAAAAGTTGTCTTGCGTGCGACAGCTTCGCACGAAACGGACCTTTCTTCAAAACTGCGCTCTCGCTGTGGCGCCGCGCCGATCTTCGGATTTGTGTGTTGCCGCAGAATTCCATGGCCAGCGCAGCATTCTGTGAGACTGCCGTGCATTTTTCGTGGTGGGCGCAGCATGTTTTGCGCTGATGCAAATGATGCGTGGCAGGCGCAGCATTTTCGGAAACAGGGTCTGTGAATTTCGTGGCAGGCGCAGCATTTCGCTCATTTGCAAGCGTTGCAAGACGAAAGTGAACCATTTGCGGAGATCGTGCGTGTCGAAGCGCTCTCGCTGTGGCGCCGTGCGAACTTGTCTTGAGCTCGGCGAACCCTCTGCGGAGATCGTGCGTGTCGAAGCGCTCTGGCTGTGGCGCCGTGCGAATGTGTCTTCAGCTCGGCAAACCGTCTGCGGAGATTTTGCGTGTCGAAACGCTCTCGCTGTGGCGCCGTGCAAGTGTCTCTTGACGAACCCTCTGCGGAGATCGTGCGTGTCGAAGCGCTCTCGCTGTGGCGCCGTGCGAATTCTTCTAGAGCTCGGCGAGCCCTCTGCGGAGATCGTGCGTGTCGAAGCGCTCTGGCTGTGGCACCGTGCGAGGTGCGACGTGCCCTCCCGCATCTCCGGCTGCGCAGGCAACGTTTACGTACAAAGCTGGCGCGCAAAGTGCGCTCCCGCATCTGCGGCTTGAAATTCGCAACTTCTAGGTGCAAAAAGTAGTACGGGAAGCGCGTTCCCGCAGCTCCGGCTGTAAAATCGCTTTTTAAGTAAAAAAAGGTAGTACGCGAAGGAGCACTCCGGAGCTCCGGCTGCAAAATCGCAATTTTAAGAAGCTCAAAAGTAGTACGCGAAGTGCACTCCCGCAGCTCCGGCTCGAAATTCGCAACTTCTAGGTGCAAAAATAGTTTGCGGAGGACATTCCCGCAACTCCGGCTGAAAGCTCGCAAGTTTCAAGTGCAAAAGTAGTACGCGAAGAGCACTCCAGAGCCCCGGCTTGCAAAATCGCAGTTTTAAGTACAAGAGTACTGGAAGTGCACTTCCGCAGCTCCAGCTCGAAATTGGCAGGCTTTTAGGGCAAAAGTCCTACGCGAAGTGCGCTCCGAGCTCTAGCTGCAAAGTTGCAACTTTGTATGAGTGTACGAAGTGCGTTCCCATGGCACGAGGCTCACAACTCTTAAGTCCAAAGTTGTGCATAAAGTGCATTCCCGCAGCTCCGGCTGCAAAATCGTAAATGGCAACGTGCGCGCGAAGCGTGCTCGCGCGGCGCGGTTCAGGTAGTATGCGAAGTAATTACACTTCCGCAGCTAAAATTGCCAGCAGCTGCTCACAGATATGGACAAGAGAGTTTTTCAACAGAGGACATGAAAGATTTGGCAAGAGAGGTTGCAGAACATCATGCGCTGCATTTCGCGCAACGTCATGCGACATCGCGCGCAACATCACGCACAGCTTCGCGCGCAACATCAAGCCACAGCATCACGCGCGCGAGAAGTTGACAGGAGAGATTGTGAAGCATGACGCTGAGCTTGCTCATCAGATCTACGCATGAGCAGGGGCACCGACGTGTTTACGATCTCATCAGGTGGGAGAGGCGTCAGTTATTTAACGGTTTTCTATGCTGCTGGGCCACCTGTCGTCAAGTTGGACGCAATACTATTTGGGGTCTCTTGCCGGGATATGTTTTTTCGCGGGCGCCCATTTTTTGGAGGTTCTCCCGCAAGCCAAAAACGGACGAGAACCGTTGTGGTGGCCTCCCGATGTTAAGACACATTTCTTGAGGATTCCGCTTTTGTTGTGGAGCCCTGCTTCTCAGAGCGGTTCCTCTTTTGAGTTGAGTACCTTGGGGTTTTCTCAATGGGAGTTCCTAGGCACCTCCAAATCTCTGGAATTCTCTGGAGAATTCGACTGCTTCAAGTTGTGGTTTGAGGTTCGAGGGCCCCGAGGCTGCGCCCAGAGGGTTAACTTTTTTTCTTGCGGTGTCCGTGGTTCTCGGTAAAACCTAACCCAAACAAGTGGTGCTTGGCGAAAGTGGTGAGGGTGCGAAATCGGCAGATGAAATGTTTTCCCAGAGTCACAGCATGAGTTTGGCTCAAGCCGATGGACAAGCACTCTTGAATGAACGTTCACTCGGACATGCTATGCCTTGACTCCTTTCAACTTGGGCCTCGGCATGCCCAAGTTGAGCCACACGAGCTCGCTTTTCTGATGGGAGAATAAGCACGCATCGATTGGTTCAAGAACTGCTTGCAAAGCGGATGGGCTAGTGGATGTAACAACCATTCACCTGGCGCAATGACAAAACCAGGTGTGGATCTGCCGGCGCATGGTGACTATCTCAAGTCACACGTCCTGGCCTGTTTGCGGGTAGGGGCCCCCTTCACCAGCAGAATGCGGCCTCAGACCGGCCTTGATGTTCGGGGGTTGACAAGAGAAACATGCGACTCTCTTGTTCGAATTGTAAAGCCTGCGTCTCAGAGCAAAGGCTTGTCGCACACACACAGAAGGATATAGTGTCTGAACTGTTGGCATGATGACAAGGAGTCTCTTGTCGTTTTGCTTGGAGCACAGTAAACTCGACCGCGCCCAGAACTTCGCGGAAAGTTTGCTTCGGGACTCCGCGCCGTGTTTTTTTTTGGGGGGTCTGACGCCTTCCAGCCCTACACCTGCCAGACTGTGCCCTCAATCCAGCACTCGTTTCAGGGGCTGGCGGCGTGTCAGGCCAGTTGGCAAGACATTGACTTTGCATGGGTAAGAATGGTAATCAGTCCAGACTTGCTCAATTGACAGGGCGCAGACGCCAGAATGGCAGAGCTCAATGTCTCCGCCGAAATCAAACCAACCGACCTGTGCCCAGAGTTTTGCGAAGTTCCAGCTGCACGTAGGAGCGAATCTCTGTGGGGCCAGCTGGCCAAGCAGCTAACAGGTCCTAGTGTATTCTAGGGATTTATGCCTTGACCTGGAGTAGCACTACATGCCATTGCGAGGCGCGTGATGCTGGGTTGACTTGAGCAAAGCACGAAGTCGCTGGGTCCGGTCGGCTTGGTTTGCGCACAGCAATGCTGGCCTGCGCAGGTGTTCACACCATTTGAGTTTCATGCGTTTGACCACTTTCGGAGCTCAACGAAGCCAGGCCTGCTTGCAGTGACGGGCGTGGATGGCAATCCTTTCAAGCTCGGTGAAGGCAACCGACCTGTGCCCAGAGCTTTGTGAAGTTGCAGCTTTGTGGAGCCTGGCAAACTCGTCAAAGCCAAGACTCATCACGCATGTTTGTCCATTGTGTGCCTTGAAGGCTGCTTCGAATGCAGTTTGCGGTTTGCCATTTGCAGCTGGGTCTCGCGGGAGATGGCCTCATGAGGAGCGTCGTGCAAACTTAGTGGCAAGCTTCAGCTTCGAACTGCGGTTGGCAGACAGCAATCAATGCCAGCCGCGTGCGCTCACGCCTGGTGAGTCTGGCAGTCTTGGATGGCAATTCTTTCGGCTTTGCCGCCAGAATCTGGTAGGCAACCGACCTGTGCCCAGAGCTTTGCGAAGTTCCAGCTGCACGTAGGAGTGAATCTCTGTGGGGCCAGCTGGCCAAGCAGCTAACACGTCCTAGTGTATTCTAGGGATTTACGCCTTGACCTGGAGTAGCACTACATGCCATTCCGAGGCGCGTGATGCTGGGTTGACTTGAGCAAAGCACGAAGTCGCTGGGTCCAGTCGGCTTGTTTTGCGCACAGCAATTCTGGCCTTTGATGCGAGGCCCACGTTTGGCTAGCAGGCGTTTGTGCACTTTCGGAGCTTAGCGAAGCCAGGCCTGCTTGCAGCGACGGGCGTGGGCTCTCAGATGGCAATCCTTTCAGCGTTGCCATCCGAAGCTGGCGGTGAAGGCAACCGACCTGTGCTCAGAGCTTTGCGAAGTTCCAGCGGCACGTAGGAGTGAATCTCTGCGGGGCCAGCCGGCCAAGCGTCTAGCAAGGCTTAGGCCCGTCTCAGTACTTTCACACCACAGCGTCCCAATGTTTTCTAGGGGTTTGTGGCTTGACCTGGAGTAGCACTACATGCCATTCTGAGGCGCGTCATGTTGGGTTGACTTGAGCAAAGCACGAAGTCGCTGGGTCCAGTCGGCTTGGTTTGCGCACAGCAATGCTGGCCTGCGCAGGTGTTCACACCATTTGAGTTTCATGCGTTTGACCACTTTCGGAGCTCAACGAAGCCAGGCTGCTTGCAGTGACGGGCGTGGATGGCAATCCTTTCAAGCTGGCGTTGAAGGCAACCGACCTGTGCCCAGAGCTTTGCGAAGTTCCAGCTGCACGTAGGAGTGAATCTCTGCGGGGCCTGCCGGCCAAGCGTCTAACAAGGCTTAGGCCCGTCTCAGTACTTTCATACCACAGCGTCCTATGGATTAAGGCCTTGATGGCGTTCTTAGGCGCGTCGTGTTGGGCTGACTCGAGCAAAGCACGGAGTTGTTAGGCTCCGTCGGCTTGGTCGTGCCCTGGTGTGGTTGGAAGCAACAGCAACGCTGGCCTGAGCATTCGAGTCTGATGCATTGCCTTGCGGCGCCGGCAGTGCGGTTGCTGCTCAGCCCTCGCTCTCAGGCTAGCACGCGTTTGTCCAGCATGTGCTTCAATTTCTGGCTTCACCTCAAGACAACTTGGAGATTGCACCGTGGGAGCGCAACAAAAGCAGCCCTGCTTCAGTTGACGGCGTAAGCTCTAGGATGGCACTCCGTTCGGCTTTGCCATCAGAAGCTGGCGTTGAAGGCAACCGACCTGTGCCCAGAGCTTTGCGAAGTTCCAGCTGCACGTAGGAGTGAATCTCTGCGGGGCCTGCCGGCCAAGCGTCTAACAAGGCTTAGGCCCGCCTCAGTACTTTCACACCGCAGCGTCCTAGGGATTAAGGCCTTGACCTGGAGTAGCACTAGATGGCGTTCTTAGGCGCGCCGTTTTGGGCTGACTTGAGCAAAGCACGGAGTTGTTAGGCTTCGTCGACTTGGTCGTGCCCTGGTGTGGTTGGAAGCAACAGCAACGCTGGCCCGACCATTTGAGTCTGATGCATTGCCTTGCCTCAGGCTAGCACGCGTTTGTCCAGCATGTGCTTCAATTTCTGGCTTCACCTCAAGATAACTTGGAGATTGCACCGTGGGAGCGCAACAAAAGCAGCCCTGCTTCAGTTGACGGCGTAAGCTCTAGGATGGCACTCCGTTCGGCTTTGCCATCAGAAGCTGGTGTTGAAGGCAACCGACCTGGTGCATGCCTGGGCGGTCTTCGACTCCGTCGCGCAAATCGAAGACTCGTTGTAGACATGGTCAAGGAACTGCTGGTCAAACTGGAAACACAAAGCAGCATCTGTCCGCAAACAGGGTTCCATGTTTTGCTTATTGCTGAAGGACTTTAACCCAGGGACTGAACAACCCTTTGAAAGCATCAATCACCCGAAGCAGGAAGGATTTAGCGAAGTCCCAGCTGTAGGAGTCAATCCTTGCGGAGCCTGGCGGGCAAGCATCTAACAAGGCTTAGGCCCGACTCAGTACTTTCACACCGCAGCGTCCTAGGGATTTATGCCTTGACCTGGAGTAGCACTAGATGGCATTCTCTGGCGCGTCGTGTTGGGTTGACTTGAGCAAACACGGAGTTGTTGGGTCCAGTCAGGTTGGTTGCGCCCAGAGCTCCACGGCAAGCTTCACTTTCATACTGCTGGTGTGGTTGGCGCACATCAATGCTGGCCTGCGCATGTGTTCACACCATTTGAGTTTCATGCGTTTGTCCACTTTCGGAGCTCAACGAAGCCAGGCCTGCTTGCAATCCTTGCGGCTTCGCCATCAGAAACGGTGTTGAAGGCAACCGACCTGTGCCCAGAGCTTTGCGAAGTTTCAGCTGCACATACGAGTCAACCTCTGCGGAGCCTGCTGGCCAAGCAGCTAACAAGGCTTAGGCCCATCGCAGCCCTCGCGCAACGCAGCGTCTCAGTGCGTTCTCGGGGTTTGTGACATGACCTAGGTTGCTTGGAACGAGGTTGCGTTGGATACCAGGAATATAGCACTAGATGGCATTATGAGGCGCGACATTTTGGGTTAACTTGAGCAAAGCGCGGAGTTGTTGGGCCCAGTCAGCTTGGTTATGCCCAGAGCTCCGCAGCAAGCTTCAGCTGCAGACTGCTGGCGAGGTTTGCAGGCACGGCAATGCTGGAAGGTGTTCTCACCATGTGAGTCTGAAGCATTGCCTTGAAGTGCCGGCAGTGCCGTTACTGCTCAGCCCTCGTGCGAAGCCTAGAGCGCGTTTGTCCAGCGCGTGGTTCAATTTCAGGCTTCGCCTCAAGATAACCTGGCGGTTGCACTTTGGGAGCTCAACGAAACCAGGCCTGCTTGCGGTGACGGGCGTGTGCTCTCGGGCAGCAATCCTTTCGGCTTTGCCATCCAGCTGGTGTTGAAGGAAACCAACCTGAGCCCAGAGCCTTGCAAAGTTCCAGCTGCACGTAGGAGTCAATCTCTGTGAGCCTGCTTTTCAAGCAGCTAACAAGACCATCGCGGCCCTCGCGCGCTGCAGCGTCCCAGTGTGTTTTGGGATTTTTCGCTTGACTCGGGAAGAGAGAAGGGGTAGCTAGTTGTCTGGGAAGCTGCGGAAGGTTCTGCAACTTGCCTCGGCGAAGCGAGGCTGCCATTCTGGAGCCGCGGTGGCGCGTTCTAAGTGGCTTTATAAACTTGGTTCTTTAAGCTGCTTGGAACGAGGCTTGCGTTGGGTGCCGGGAGTAGCACTAGATGCTTTCTCGGGCCTCATGTTTGCCTTCGCGGAGAGACATGTTTGTCACAAGCGCTTCAAATGTCGAAAGTGCTGTGTCAGGCTTTCGGAGTTTCAGAGCCCAGGCCCCGCGTGCTCAAAGCTTGCAGGCAAATCAGCCAGTCAACGTGGCTTGCGGCAGAATCCGACGAGGTGACTTGTTGCCAACCAGACGCGCTTGAAGATACTGTCTTTGCGACACATTTTTCCGGGAGTGGATGTTCTCACCATGTGAGTCTGAAGCATTGCCTTGAAGTGCCGGCAGTGCCGTTGCTGCTCAGCCCTCGTGCAGCCTAGAGCGCGTTTGTCCAGCGCGTGGGTCAATTTCAGGCTTCGCCTCAAGATAACCTGGCGGTTGCACTTTGGGAGCTCAACGAAACCAGGCCTGCTTGCGGTGACGGGCGTGTGCTCTCGGGCAGCAATCCTTTCGGCTTTGCCATCCCCAGCTGGTGTTGAAGGAAACCAACCTGAGCCCAGAGCCTTGCAAAGTTTTAGCTGCACGTAGGAGTCAATCTCTGTGAGCCTGCTTTCCAAGCAGCTAACAAGACCATCGCGGCCCTCGCGCGCTGCAGCGTCCCAGTGTGTTTTGGGATTTTTCGCTTGACTCGGGAAGAGAGAAGGGGTAGCTAGTTGTCTGGGAAGCTGCGGAAGGTTCTGCAAATTGCTTCGGCGAAGCGAGGCTGCCATTCTGGAGCCGCGGTGGCGCGTTCGAAGTGGCTTTATAAACTTGGTTCTTTAAGCTGCTTGGAACGAAGCTTGCGTTGGGTGCCGGGAGTAGCACTAGATGGCATTGTGAGGCGCGTTATGTTGGGTTGACTAGAGCAAAGCACGGAGTTGCTGGGCACGTAGCAGCCATGATTACAAGGCGCGCAAGAGCTTGGACTTTGGGCACGGTTCGCAAGCTGACCGGCTTCAATTGACGGGCAGGCGCTCGGATGGCCCAAGCCGAGCCCAAGCCGAACGCCCAAGATAAGGCCTGTGGATTCTCAGCACGGGCACGATTTGTAACCTTGATGCAGGTTTCTTTCATAGGGATCTCGTTTTTTCCCGGGGAATTGATGATTTGCCCAAGCGTCGTATTTGCACATCGAGCACAACGTTTTCTCTGTTGGGAAGCTTCGCCCGGTTTCATCGACGCGCAACTGGCGGCTGTTCAATACAAAGGTGCCTAGAAGTCATCCAATCGCTCGCCTTTCGCCGTCCTTCGCGGGCCTCATGTTTGCCTTTGCGGAAAGACATGTTTGTCACAAGCGCTTCAAATGTCGAAAGTGCTGTGTCAGGCTTTCGGAGTTTCAGAGCCCAGGCCCCGCGTGCTCAAAGCTTGCAGGCAAATCAGCCAGTCAACGTGGCTTGCGGCAGAATCCGACCTTGAAGATACTGTCTTTGCGACACATTTTTCCGGGAGTGGATGTTGCTCGGCCACACTCTGCACATTGATTTCTTCTTCCCCACGACCATTTCTTATTGCCCGTGGCCTGCGTCCGCTGAAGGCCATCATTGAAGTTTCGTTTTCGCCAGCCTTTCCTCTTCTTCCTCAGGGTGACCGAGATGCTCGCATGAGAGAATTGAGAACATGCATAGGTTTCCCAGCCCGGCGTCGGAGATGCCGCAAGCGGCTGCGAAGGTTGCAGTGAGTTGTGGCGTTAACCACACGTGGTCTTTTCTCCCATTCGGCTGGACAATGAGTGGCGTTTTTGGTGTGTCAAGCATTGTCTCTGCCCATGTTCTGAGCAAGGCCCGTTTGTTGCAGTACTTCTCGCTTCCTCTTCTCTCTCCTCATTCATTTGTCACC